CCCATGGACTTGCAGGGAGAGAAGCTTTCTCAAGTTCAGGCTCATCAGCCTCTGCTACACACCACAGCCGTGGGGTCACTCATGCAGCCTGTGCATAATGGAACTGCCTGTGTTTGGTTTTTTTCAGGCGTTCCCCATGGTTTCTGTGTGACCTAAAAACCTATAATCCTGGGAAACACCCAAGTGGGTGGTTCTTACGGACAGTTAGTAAAGGAAATGACCGGCAAAAAGAAACATGTGTTGGCTTTGTGAGGCTGATAGCAATCTGTTTAGCTGAAAAGACATCCCCATTGCATCGACCCACAATGGGTTCCGATTTCCTACTTACATCTATTGGTGTTTACAGTAGCCTGCCAGGCCACCTGAATACAATGACTTCTTGAAAACAATTCTCAAAACTTGTCCCCTTGCCAGGTTTCCCCCCACCCCTTTGTCTTTTTATTTCATTTGTTTTTGAATATTTTATGCTAGGGCACGAAAGTAAAATAGTTTATCTAAATAAATTTTACTTCACTGAGAACGATTTACTCTACTGAAAAATCTTAGTGTGCTAAAAAGATATTGAGAAATGAAATCTTCCTTTATTCTTGCAAATTCTTTAGAAAAGGGGAGAACTTTCTAATAATAATTGCTCACACAATTATAACAAGTAATTATAATTAACACATTAATAATTGTGTATAGCTATTGACGATCTACTATACTAGTCATAAACTCTCCCAAACTTAATATAAATAATTTAATCCTATAACAAACCTATGAAGAAGAGACTAGTCTCCCCAAATTACTGATGAAAAAACTGGAGCATAGAAAAGCTAAGTACCTTGCCCAAAGTCTCACAGCTGTTTCTCATGGGCCTGGAAGTCCCAGCTTGGATTTTCGTCCTTTAGGTAAAGATACAAAGCAAGTTTTACTTGAAGAAACATTTTAGCCAGAGACACTTCACTTGTGCTGTTGAATTTTAAATGGAATAATCTTCAGTACGAACGTTGTCAAGCTCTAAATATGCCCACACAAACATGTTCTAAATAGCAATTTAAAAATCACTGGCTATTTTGATAGCTGTGCTTTTAAACAGGTATAAAGTACTTTTTAAAACATAATTCATCTTAAAAGAAGCAATTTATTAATCTTTATAATAAAACACAGTGGTCCTGGCTCGGTGGCTCAGCCTGCAATTCCAGCATTTGGGAGGCCGAGGCTAGTGGATTGCTTGAGCCCTTGGGTTCGAGACCTGCCCGGGCAACTTGGTAAGACCGCGTCTCTACGATAAATAAAAAATGAGCCAGGCATGGTAGCGCGCGCCTATATTTCTGGCTACTTGGAAGGTTGGGGCGGAGGGATCACCGGAGCCCAGCAGGTTGACCCTGGGGTGGCCATGAGTGTGCCACTGCACTCCAGCCTGGGCGACAGAGTGAGACTCCAACTCAAAAAAAATAAAAAATAAAAAACACAGTGTGACTTAATTTTTTATGAAATTAAAAACACTTTTGTGATGAAAAATATAACTTCCCTAACTTTTATTTTATATATGTGGACTTATTTAATAGTATAACAACCAAATTTAAAGTCAAATATTATCCAAAAAATAGAATCCTTTTGATTCAGATTTACTATCTAAATCTAACCTACATTTCTAATCAATTGAGTTTCTACCCTTTCAGCATTGGAAAAAATATATAAATTAAATTTATAACAAATGAATTGTTTTTTAATTACTATATGTAACTCATTAAATTTATTTTGCTTCAACTTCCCCCAAAAAATCATTGAGCTTTTTTTAAAGGCATTGCGACTCTCAAGCTTTTCTTTTTTTTTTTAACTCTTAATTCATGTCACATGTTGGCATAGGACGGCAATAACTTATTCATTCCTCAGCATCAACCCACTTCCATTCCCCCGTCATTCCACTTACAGAGCTGACTGTACTTTAGGCAAAACTAGTTTTTGAAACAGCTTTTGAAATTCTGGATATAACTCTCAAGACTCAAGGAGAAAAATTATACTCCTGAGACAAAGATATTAACTCACAACATTTTGTATGAGGCAAGTGTTTAAGTTCTTACATAGGAAAAGGTTTTGCTTCTTGATGTTATTGTTTTAACTTCCACCTAATGTTGAAAACATACTTTTATTTTTTTCTTTCGAGGCTGTCATTTCTCTCAGGATTGAAATAAATATTTCATCTGTTGACAGCCAAGTTACCAAGTAGGTAGGGGGGTAGGTACCGGTCTCCTTTCCGACTGGCTGTCTCTGCAATTACTTCCCCAGGAAAGACATGAAACACTGACTCTCTGAATAACTACTTCCTCCCTCAGTCACCCTTCTACCCACCACAAATGCCAGATTCTCAGCTATGCTCCATGACACTCATTTTTGCATGATGTTTCTGTTGAAGGCACAGATGAAAATCCTGAGGGAAATCATCAGTTTTGACACTCAATGCCTGGGCAGCTGCCACTTCAATTCTCTACCTTATGTTTCTTAACTTGGCAACAAAGCCCAGATTTCTGCAGTCACCAGCTCCTGGACAGCAGCTAGTTAGTCCACTCCTGACAGCAAAGTGAAGGAGACAGTGGCGAATAATACAAAGACATCTAGGAAATCAGCTAGTTATATGAGGATTTGTGGGAACCCAGGCAAGTCCTCAGAGATTTATCCTCCCTGCAAGTCTCATAAATACAGTAGGATACACTAAAACCCTGAGATTCCCATCCCCACCCCAGGAAAACTCTGAGAAAGAGTTTCTTTGTATATTGAATTTATAAAATACGTCTTGTTTTGTTTTTATCTTACAGGCTGAAAACCAGGCACCGTACCAGGAGCAGAGGACAGCTAGTCACCATGTCCCCACTTTGGAGGAGCCCCTGAAATGGTGTGATCAGTACCATGATGAAGGGTACTTCAGGGTGCTATGTAACCACTGACCTAGGTGAGAGGGGCCAGGGAACCCAGAAGAAGAGGAGGAGATGCTATGGAAGTGTGAAAAGTGAGGAGGAAGGAGCCAAGCAGGTGAGGGGACTGTGTCTCCTGCAGAGAGAGTGAGCTCATGGGGAGAGGTTGCACCAGGAGCAGAGTCCTGAGACCGCGACCCTGCAAGCAGTTCAAGATGGCGGGAGGTGGGGAGAACAACAACCAACAAAGGGGTGGCTTGAAGGCTGCCAGGGACCAGATCAGGAAGGGCCTTGCATTTACCAGGAAGACATTTTATTCTAATGTGAACAGAATTGCAGAAGAATTGGCATGGGAAAAAAGTCATGCTTTAAGGAAACCATGGGCCCAAGTGATATATGCAAAGTCAGTGAGTCTTGTTAGCTAGCTAGGTATGGGCCAAAAGCCACAGTGGTCAGTCCAAGGGGCCTCCCAGGGTGGCACTTAACAGGTGTTTGGGTAAAGCCATCAGTCACCAAATAAGGAATACTGGAAAAGGGGGGTGGTAGAGAGTGAGGATGAGGAACGCAAGGTGGCCACATTGCATGTAGATGCTTGAGGGATACCAGAGTGGAGAGGTCCAGTAGCCATTTCTCCTCAGCTGTGAGGGCAGCAGCAGGCCAGAGGACATGGACTGGGGGACTTCTGGTCTTTAGGTAACTATGAGAATGGGTGTGATGACCCAGAAGAAGAATACATGACAAATGAAAGGGTCCACGGAGGTGAGGTGGGCCAGTGCCGGTGCCACAGGAATAATGTAAAATTGAAACAAGGAAGAAAGTAGAAAGAAGTAAAGTTTATCATTCACCTTTCACAGATTGGAAAGGGGGCTGACATTCAGAAGCAAGTGTGGCAAGAACTGGGTATATTTAAGGGCCTTTGGGGTGAGGGGGTTTGGACCCAGAGGAATGTCCAGGGCTGCCAGTCTTTGATGTTGATTGTAGTCACATGAGTCTTAGACACCAGCATCTCATGCCCTCAGGTGGTGGGTTAGATGGGAGGAAACACAAGGGAAGGGGGTTTTCCTGCAAGACACTTGTCAGATGTTTCCAATCCACAAACTCCTTGACCAAAAGGTGGTCTTATTATAATTTCTGTGGCTTTGTCCCTGTCTTGCAACTGATGGAGATTTGCTGAGGGGTGTGGTAGCCTGCCAGATTGGCCTGCAGTCAAAAGTCTGAATGCTTCCTAAAATCTGTCTATTGGAAATCTATCTATGTCTAACCTGTGCTCAGTTCAAAGAGTGACAAGATTAAAGTCTTAGCAAAAATGGTTATGCTGAGGCAAAAAGACTACACTAAACTAAATTTATTCTAGGTTTCTATAGGTACCTCCTTTCAACAAAGATAGGAGAGGGAAAGGGACAGGACTGTGGGAGTACCCAGTTTAAGGGCCTAGTGATGTTTCAGTGGCACCCAAGGAAAAACGAGGTGTGGGCGCTTGTGTCAGGTTACAAGGATTTCAGGCCATAGCATGGGCTGGGCAGACATGTCATTTCATGCATCAGTATAACTGTGTTTGTGACTGACTCCACCTTCTTACTTAGCCAAACTCAAAAGAAGCAGATGCCACCAGGCAGATCTCAGAGCTATTCAAGCCTCTATTTTCCTTGTTTCCAAAACAACCTTAACTCTGATTATTTGTCTGATATTCAGTTGCTAACCCAGAGCTATGCATTCTAGAACCTGGGACACCAGCTGGAGAAAGAGTGCTGATAAGAGACCAGTCATGCCTAACTTTTAACTACTGACAGTAGCCTATAACCCTGTACCTGCAGGGCAGGCACTAGATGGACCTGTTGCAGGTGAAGGAATCTTGGCATCTCCTAAG